AGAAGGGGATGTTGGACAAGGGCCTGGAGTGACAGGACAAGGAGGAATGACTTTACACTGCCAGAGGGCAGGGTAAGATGGAATTCTTCCCTGTGAGGGTGGTGAGGCCCTGGCACAGGTTGCCCAGAGAAGCTGTGGCTGCCCCAGCCCTGGAACTGTCCAAGGCCAGCGTGGACGGGGCTTGGAGCAACCTGGGCTAGTGGAAGGTGTCCCTGCCCATGGCAGGGTGGAATGAGATGTACTTTGAGGTCTCTTCCAAACCAAACCATTCTGTGATTCTATGATGATTCTATGACTTTCTTAATCTTTTCAAATCCAGGACTCTCGCAGTGTCCTTAGGGGGCACGAATGGAGTTGTCTTTGAGATCCTCCCTTCTGCCTCTCCTTTCTTGTGCCACAGTTTGTCCTACTTGAAAGGAGTTTTTCATATGGCCATAATTAGAAGGTGGATCTTGGAGAGAGGCAGACATGGGACTTGCTTTCTGGAGTAAAAGCTGCATTGCCTGTTTTGTTTTGCTTTGTAATTTCTAGCAAACGAGAGTTGGATTTGCACAAACCAAATCTCTGTCTTATCCCGGGTGTCATATGCACTTGTAGAGAAAAATCACCACATGAACAAGAAGGTGGTGGGGTTCTGTATATCCCATCTCTTCATAGCTTAAGGGCTTTGGTCACGAAGTGTCACTTGTTGCTCCTGGATGTGGAGTGCATATGGATTTCCCATCCCTGGAAGTGTCCAAGGCCATGTTGGATGGGGCTTGGAGCAACCTGGGCTGCTGAGAGGTGTCCCTGCTCATGGCAGGGGGTGGAACCTGGATGAGCTTTGAGGTCCTTCCAGCACAGATGATTCTGTGATTCTGTGACATGGCTCATGTCATCTCTCCCTTACAGCTGAGGGAGTTAGTGACTGTGCTGGGAAGGAGAGGAGGGCAGGCAAGGGAGGAAGGCTCCCTGGCTACTGGGAGAGGGCATGGGCCTGTCTAGCTCTCTCCTGTAGGTCACAGACAGCAGCAGATGTGGACTGAAACACGAGGATGCTCTGGTTTGGAGGAGGAGATGTTTTTCAGGGAGGTGTTATTGCACATCACTTCAAAACACGGCCCAGCAGTTGCAGAACCGACGATGTACCGGTCAGGACAACCCCAGCTCCGTGGCAAGGGGAGAGTTTTGTCCTTAATGTCGTATAATAGAGCTCTGCACCCTGCAAATGATGACCATCATCAAGGGAAGCTGTGCCCGTACAGTCCATCAAAAGCCTCAGAGCTAATGATGGGCTGGGCAGATAATCGGGGGAGAGTTAATTGTAAGGTTCGATATGGCATCTTGTCAGCAGAGATAAGTTGTCACGTTTTCCACTTGAGCTGAAACTAAATGATTGTAAAATAAGTTATGAGTGTCCTTGGGCCTGTCTGCCAGAATGATGGCTAAGAATACATTCCTGGCCCATCAGTCTCAAGCAGCCCGCTTGATATTTATGCGAGCTGAATGTTATTTTATTCCCCCTCTAGTCATGCTTGTCAGCCTCCCGAGTGAAAAGTGAAACTGCTGCTTTGACTCATACTTCAAGTATTGAAGCTCGGAGAGGCTGCAGATTGTTATTATTATTACTAGTATTATATATTTTTTTGGGTGTGTGTTGAACATTGATGCCCGATTGGGAAGAACTAATGGCTGACATTGAACGTGCGGGATGGCTGGAAAACAGCCCATCTCAGCCCAGTGAAACGCAGCTTATGAGTTCCAGTGCCTCTGTCAAAGCTGGTTGAGATGGGGAGTAATGAACCGCTTGCTTTTTTAATTTGCCATGCCTTTTCCTTGCCTTTTTTTTTTCCCTTCTTTCCCCCCCCATATTTAATAGTGCCGGCAGTGGCCGTCTGTTCTCAGGCATGGTAATTGATACCAAATAAAATGCATTATTTGTATTCAGTCAGGAGGATGAAATTGCATTCAGCGGGCTGAAGCCTGAACTCATTTACAGTTTCCCGAAGCCCGGGCTTTCAGGAGCCCTCTTTTCAATTTGAAGAATCCCTTGTCAGGCAAGAGAAGGAGTGGGAAATGGGAGAGCGCAGCGTGTGAGCCCCAGCGCCTTTTGATTGCTCATATTTTAAACCAGGGGAATGTTAAATAACTCCCATCTTCAAAGGGTGGTCTGGGGAGCCGGGGATCCGGGGCAGGGAGGCACCAGCAGTGTGGGCTCGGCACCGTTTAGGAGCTGCTGGCCGAGGGGCAGGGAGAGCGCTGGGCTCTCACTTCGGAGCCGTTTGACCCAAGGACAGCAGGTTGTTACCTGGAGAGGGCTGTGGGTGAGGAGGATTCACCAGAGGAGGTCACTTCTTCAGCTCTGCGGCGGCCCTCGCTACTCAGGGCTCACGAGCAGGTTTTGTTGGGGTAATTTATGGCCCTGGAATTAGACGGAGCCATGGGGAGCGTATGGACCTACCGTCACCTTTTTAAACAGAATGTATTCTGTGGGTTTGCGTCAGGTTTGTGGTTTCTTCAGTGTTTTATGGGTCCAGGGCATCGTGGTTGATGCTGCAGTTGCATGAGGTGATGAACACAGATGGGTTTAATTCTTTCTAAAGTGAAAGATGAGAATGAGAGGGGGGGAAGTGAAGCATTTTAAATCACAGAATCACAGAATGGCCTGGGTTGGAAGGGACCTTAAAGCTCATCTTGTTCCCCACCCCCTGCCATGGGCAGGGACACCTTCCGCTAGCCCAGGTTGCTCCAAGCCCCATCCAGCCTTGCCTTGGACACTCCCAGGGCTGGGGCAGCCACAGCTTCTCTGGGCAACCTGTGCCAGGGCCTCAGCACCGATGAAGACATCAATTAGCACTGGTCCCAGTACGGGTGCCCAAGGACAGCACTGATCACTGACATCCGTCAGGACTCTCAGAAGCTGTGTTAGATGTGAGCAAACCTTCCTGGCTGGTGTGCTCTGCTATCTCTCCGTGATATTTAGGTATTTTCTGGATTTTCACAAGCAAATGGAAATCAGTGAGATGCCTTTTGGTGCCACAGCCAGGTCCCTTTCTCACCAGTCTTGACTCAACACAGGAATTTTCACATAATTACTGCAAAGAAGGGGGTTTTGTGGGGAGGTGTTTCTCCTCCTTTTTAAGTATCAACATAGGAAACCTTCAGAATCGAACTGGAGGTCAGTATTTAGGATAGAAGTAACACCCAGTTGCATCCGTGGCATCCTCTTCTGCATCAGCTCTTCCTTCAGTGTCAGGGAGCCAAAGGGATCCATGTCCCCTCGGCCAGGAGTATATGGGGCACTGTTGTGGGTTCTCATCAGGGTTTGCATTGGCATGGAGACAGCAAACCCTCCAGGAGAGCCGCTGTCACCATTTATGGGTCAAATCCTTAGAATCTCCTATACAGATATACAGCAAATACATTCCCATGATTCTCTTCTGGGGTTAAATACCTGAGGACTGGTTTCAATCTGGTGGATGTAGGGAAAAGAATAAATATCCTTAATAAAAGGATTAATGTTTGATTTGGTCTCTCTTGCCAGGCAATTAGCTACATAATTTATCCCCCACTAATAACTTATAGCACAACTGTGCTTGGGGGGTAATTAGTAAATAAACTTTATTATGAGAGAGAAAAAAAAATCCAAACAAGTTGTTTTTTATAAAATAGGCAGCTGTGTGGGAATTTAACTGTACCAAGAAAAAAAAATAACCAAAAGCTGCTTTTTAAATAATCTTTGTCTTGATATTTTTCTGATATATTAATTAATCTTAAGTGAAATGCTGATACTGCACATAAGCTTTATATTAAGGATTTTTGTTCTTTTCCGTGTGTCCGTGATTCTGAAACCAATCATCAAGTATTTAACCCCAAAAGGCAATCATGGGAGTGTATTTACTGAATATCTGTATAGGAGATTTTAAGGATTTGACCTATAAATGCAGTCCTGGAATTGCACCGAAGTGCAATACAGTACTTAAGCAAGGTTCTGAAAATGGCTTCACTTTCCATAATAGCAAACACTTTCCTTAAAGTGTAGGTTTTATGTGAAGTTTTATAATTAAAATCACAACCAGACCTGTAATTAAACAAAAATCATGTTACCAACCTTGAGGGAAAATCCTGGATTAAGGTTGCTTGAGTATTTACTGTGTGAAAGGACCCAGTTGGAGAAATTTCAAGTACATCTAAATTTCCTAAATTTGAGTTAAATTTGCCTGTTTCTTTCGTAATTGCAAACAAGAACCTAGTCAAAGAGAAGCTGTTGGTGTATGACCAACCATTCCATGGGCCAGGGAAGAGACTGTGGGTCTCTGCTCATGAGAGGGGGGTGTCATCTACCTTTAATTTTGATTTGGTTGAGTGACCTAATGGATGGGCAAGGGGAGAAAATGACTCTCATTATGTCTTAAAGTGGTTGGATGTTGGGCTACCAGAGCTAATACGGCAGGAAACTGAACACACTAAAGGTGGGCTTATTTTCTTTGCTTGGCAGCAGGTAGGAATGACCCTTTATTGCAGTTGTCACTGTACCAGGTGCACGTTGGTCACCTTGTTTGCCCACCTTTATTGCCATCACCTCCTTTTCGGTGTGTCTGATACTGATGACAGTAGGTACATCCAGAGGGTGTTGGGGCACCTGTGGTCTGTTATATATTAAAATGTTCAGGTGTTACAGGAGTTAATTTGAGGATCAGGAAGATCTTTGTGAGAAAGAGCAATTGGAAGGAATAAAGAGCTTTCCTGTTGTTTTTGTGCGTTCCTACTGGGCTCCTTCAAAAATCGATACCGAGTCCTGTCGATGGAGTAGGACTTGAATCAGCACTTCAGCCACGTTGCTGTTTTTGTACCGTTTTGAGCAAATAATGGATGTTGTTGGGAGCCTTTGGAAGTCACCGAGCTCAAGAACCCCTTGCTGGCAGACAGCAAGGGGTCGTACCTCGGATTGTAGCAATCATTCATGTAAATTACGCAGTGGTTTTAGTTCCCTCTCCTTGTCTTCCCCCACCCCACTGCAGATACGGGCCTAGGAGACTCTGTGTGTTCCAGCCCCAGCATATCCAGTACAACGAGCCCCAAGCTGGACCCCCCCCCTTCCCCTCACGCCAACAGAAAGAAGCACCGGCGGAAGAAAAGCACAAGCAACTTCAAAGCTGACGGGATCTCGGGCACAGCTGAGGGTAAGTCTGCTCCCTGGGGCAGGGCTCCACTCTGAGAACACTATGGCAAGGGCTGCTGGTCACTCAGCTCCACTGTCGGCTCCGGTTCCAGAAGGTAAAAGGGAATTGTGCTGCAGTGGAGAAATTAAAGGCTGAGCTTTTAATGGTGGAACTGAATCATCTGAGACATCACGATGGTGAATTCACCCGCCTGAAACGTGTTTGGAAAGGGCTTTTGTAATAAATAAGAGTCCCCGAGTTAAAGTGGAGCATCATTAGGTGTAAAGGCAAGGAAGAGGCAAACTTGGAAGGTTAACAAGGAAGAAAAATTCAGGTTTGCTCCGTAGATCGCGTTAGAACTTGTGTATTTTTTCGGTATTATTAAATCTTGTGTTATCACATCTCCTAAGGCACATCCTGAGCTCTAGAATCACCAGCACTTCTGATGCCTCTTATTGTTTGAATATTCAGCTGCTCATGGAAAGCTTGTGTTATTTGAGGATAAAAGGGAAAAGGGGAGAGTTTAAATGTTTGGGTTCTTTTTTTTTTCAGAGCCAGAAAGCAAAAGGCAAAAAGAACTTCTTTTTTTCCCTTAGTTTAGCTTACTGTTTCCAATGTGAACACTGCTCTAGCTGTTCAATGCCCTTCTGAAGGGGTAACAATGTGTACAGGAGCCAGGTATGATATAAAACATGCTTGTAGCTTTAGAAAAGAAGAAAAGAAACATGCCAGGATTCAGCCCAAAAGAGCTCCAGAAAAAAAAGGATGAACAAGGGTAGTTGGAAGGCTCAGAAACTGGGGAGTCAACACATAAGGAGAGATGAAAAACGGAGACAATGGAATAACATTGTGGGAAAAGGGGAGTGTTGAGTAAGAAAAAGATGTGGTTGTAAGCATGGCAGAGTGAAAAACAGCTAATTCAGTATCAAAGAGGGTTGGAACAAGTTCTGAAAAAAAGATGACAATTGCAGACAGCTGAAGAGACATTAAAAATAGACGTGATAATAGTATACAACTGAGAAGGGGCATGTTAACTACTACTTAGTCATCCTCATTTTCCATTTATTTAATTTCTCAATTGCACTTCTCTCACATCCGGAATTTATTTCCCCAGCTATCTATACAAATCCTTTTTTTAAAAAGCCATCAGCTTTTTTTCATAACAGCCTCTGTTGTGTTTTCTTTCCAGTCATTTAACTATCTTTGCTGTTAGTTTCCCCCTAGTTTATGGCCTGAAGCCAAATTTTAGTTCAACCTTTCATTTTTAATTTGCCTTTTTTTTTTTTTTAAACAAGCCCTTTTATACCACTTATTTTCGTACTTCAATGGCAAGTTACAGAGGGGATTTTTCAGAGCAATCACCATTGGTCCAAGACTATTTTGTTGAAGTCAATGTGAATCAAGACCAGCTGGATATCAAGAGCCTTTGAAAACCTCTTTCTGAGTAGTTAATGGGTGTATGTTTTCTTTCTCCTGGGGAGATTATTTTCACAAGTCACTGGAGCTGGAGCCTGTGTGGTCCTGGGCTGTAGGGGGGTCTGCAGTTGTGAATCTTGTCCCTGATGTCCCTGTTCTCATTGGAGTGGGCAGTACATCCCTCATCCTCCTCTGTTTGCCCTTCCTCTTCTCCTTGTCTTCCAGCATCACACCATGTTAGTCTGAAATCCTTTTGCAATAACTCAACAAAATGGTCCCCTCTCATATGGGTGGGATAAATGTGCTTCCAGAAGGGCTGACAGGCAGCAACTAAGACAGACATAGGGAGCCTTGAAAGTGGTAGAATCATTTAGGTTGGAAAAGCCCTCTAGTCGTTCCCCCAGCACTGCCAGGTCACTAAACCATGTCCTCAGATGTCACATCTGCAGGTCTTTTAAATCCCTCCAGGGATGGGGACTCCACCCTGGGCAGCCCTTTCCAATGGTGACCACCCTTTCCGCAAGAAATTCCTCCTGATGTCCAACCTGACCCTCCCATGGCACAGCTGGAGGCCATTCCCTCTCCTCCTGTCCCTTGTTCCCTGGGAGCAGAGCCCGACCCCTCCCGGCTCCCCCCTCCTGTCAGGGGGTTGCAGAGCCAGAAGGTCCTCCCTGAGCCTCCTTTTCTCCAGGCTGAGCCCCCCCAGCTCCCTCAGCTGCTCCTGCTGCTCCAGCCCCTTCCCAGCTCTGTTCCCTTCCGTGGATGTGCTCCAACAGTGAGTGCCAGCACTTGCTTGTACAGGCTTTGTAGCTCTGCATGAGCCCATCAGCTTCCTCTGACCTGCCTCCTCTCACGTGTCTTCTGAGATGAGCACTCTGTGATGTTTGGGGCCTGCAGTTGTGTCTTGGGTGGGCTGCAGTGGTTGTTAAGTTCTTTATTTTTGTAACATCTCCTTTCAAACACAGCCCAGCAAAAAGCAGTGGTTTGGCCACGAGAACACGTGGTGTTCTGGGCATCCTTCAGCACACAGCTCATCTTCGTGGTCCTTGAGTGCTCAGCAAGGCTGGGAGGAGGTGGCTGACAGCGAGGACAGTCTGTCAGCGGGGGCTGAGGGAGGAGGCAATGAGCCGTGCTCGAGCTCCTGTCCTTTCAGGAGAAGGGCATCTCACAAAGAGTGATGGTGGCTGTAGATTTCCAGTAAGTAACAAGACTCACAAAGCCTGGGGGTTGCTCTCTCCAAACCCTGGCATGTGGGCATGCAGCCTTTGTGTTTTCTGGGACTTGTGTTGGTGCAAGCCAGAATCACAGAGCCACTGAGGTTGGAAAAGCCCTCTAAGATCCTCGAGTCCACTGTTAACCCAGCCCTGCCAAGGCCACCACTGACCCGTGACCCTGGGAAGGTACATTTGGTATGTTTGTGGTTGTCCAGACACTGTTCATATCCCTGAGCTTGCTGTGATGTTGTGTGATGGGAATAACTCCAGTCCTGGGACAAGCTGTGTCACAAGCCATTCTGCTGCTGGTGGGGCGTGTCCCACATGGTTCAAGCTGTTACGGGTTTTTCTCCAAGTAGTTGAATGGAGCTGTGTCAGGGGAGGCTTAGGCTGGATCTCAGGGAAAGGTTCTTCCCCCAGAGGGTGGTTGGGCGCTGAACAGGCTCCCCAGGGTTTGGTCACGGCCACAAGGCTGCCAGAGCTCCAGGAGGGTTTGGACAACACCCTCAGGGACAGAGTGGGATTGTTGGGATGTCCTGGGCAGGGCCAGGGTTTGGACTGGATGGTCCCTGTGGGTCCCTTCCAGCTCATGATGTTCTATGATTTTCACATCTGTCTTGTACTTCAAAGCAGTTTTCAGTTCAGTAGTTCAACCTTTCCTCAGGAAAAGGCTGATTTCCTTGTTCCCCGGCATGCAGCTACAAATCTGTCCAGTGACCTAAAAGATTCCCTTTTGGATTTTTCTTCCCCCACACTATGCTCTATGTGAGCATAGATTTAAACCCTCAAGGAGGTTCTGAAGAGCACAAATCCAAATTAAGCAGTCAAAGATGTTCTGGGAGATGCACGTTTTGCCTTGGCAACTTTGATCAAGTGCTTGAGATGCAGCAGGTGACTTGCTGAAAATGGGCTACAGGAGCCCGTGGTGATAATCGTGGGAGATCCATGTCTTCCTTCCTTCTGGAAATGCTGAGCTCGGCGTGCAGAGGAGGAGGATCCTCCTGCAGTCGCTGTTCTCAGGCAGGTACAATGGATCAGAGTCAAGTGATGGGGGTAATTCTAGATTTTATGTCGCCTTCCTTTGGCTCCGGGCACGTTTCAAGTGTCAGCTTTCAAACAGGAATTCTGGGTTCCTTCATTTTTGTCTGTACCAAAGCTGAGGTGTTCAATGAGGTTTAAATCTGGTCTTCAGCAAACTCGAGCATTTTTACTGCACTTTGCAGTCTTTTTTTCTCCTCCTTGAACGTGCCTGCTTTGATCATTGACCTCTGCCCAAGTATTCAGATATCACGATGATGGACACTGAGCTCAGGGTGATTCACCAATTCCAAGGACTGATGCTCATCCCTTTTATGCCCTTCCATAAAGGTCATGCTGATTCTTCTTTCTCCACACTATCTGCACATGCACAGCCCTCTCTTTCTGGGATGGATTCTTTCATCTCACTTGGTTTGTCTTTCTACAGGTTTTCTTAGACAATAGTCACAGCAACAAAAATACTAAAGCAACTGTGCTGCAGTTGGATGAAAATTAAGATTCAGTTCCTATATTGGAAAATCAGATTCTTGTGAAATTTTTTTTTCCAGTGCAGTGAAACCCGGGGAGAAGTTTTTTAGTTCTCTGTACAGAACTTGTCACTGAAAAAAGTCCCTCGGTGTTTTTGAGGGTAACAGCAGGAATGCTTACATTAGGCAAGGTGCCAGCAACCAGCAGGTTTTTTTCCCACCATGCTGCCTAAACTTGCTCGGAGCAGGATTAGACAGTGCTGTGTTTCAAAGAGGAATAGCTGCTCAGAGCCTGATCTGTTTTGGTACCCTTGTGCTGCTGCAGTTACTGGAACAGCCAGTGATAATAGGAAAGATTTTCAGCTTGAAAACAAGTAGAAAAATTGAAAAGCTTTCTTGGAAATACTCTTCACAGAAAGACCTTTCCCAGTGTTTATTTTTCTTACTCTTATTAGTTTTAAAGCTTCATAGCTAAGCCAGCTTCAACCTGCCTTCTCTCCATCCACCACTGAGATTTTAGGAGCTGCAGAAAGCCCAAGGTGTGTCTGTCTTTTGATGTTGGGATCATCTGTACCCTGCAAGCCTTCCACTGACTAAGAAATCTGGCCAGTGGGGCCAGTGTTGCTGTGGGGCCAGCCTGGCCACATCCAGGTGGATGGGAACATCCCCTCCTTCCCTCAGGGAGACCACAGAATCCCAGAATGGTTTGGGCTGGGAGGGACCTTAAAGCTCAGCTTGTTCCATGGGCAGGGACACCTTCCACTAGCCCAGGCTGCTCCAAGCCCTGTCCATCCTGGCCTTGGACACTTCCAGGGATGGGGCAGCCACAGCTTCTCTGGGCAACCTGTGCCAGGGCCTCCCCACCCTCCCAGGGAGGGATTTCTGT